GCTTCCATATGTCGTTCTCGAATTCGACAAAAATGAAATTCTCATTGATGCGATGGGTGGTGATCTTTCAAGTCCTGTGTGGAACTACCGTGCCGACTTGTGCGTAGCATTTCCTTGCCAATCACCGGCGATAATTATCTACTCCGCACAGCGATGTCTCTCGTACTTCCAATATCTCTGTTTCGTCGTATCTACGTACTACAGTCGCAGGACAGGATGATATGGGAAACGACTTGCTTATGGCCCGAGTCGACCTCACTCCCATGCTCGAGGGACACGTAAGCTTCTTTACCAGTTCCTCGTCAAGCTGAGTCTCATTCTTCAACAGCACGCATCTGACCAGTGGTACAATGCCACCGCTGGTTCTGGGTCGTTCCATCTAAAAATCGATTTTAAGCCTACTCGCAATGAACCCCTTACTATTGAGGCCTTTGACCTGCTCAAAGTCATCGGTAAAGGCAGCTTTGGCAAGGTTATGCAAGTACGGAAGAAGGACACTCAGCGAATTTATGCGCTCAAGACTATACGCAAAGCACACATTGCCCAGCGCCCTGGTGAAATTACCCACATTCTCGCAGAGCGCACGGTCCTTGCCCTCGTCAATAACCCCTTCATCGTCCCCCTCAAGTTTTCGTTCCAGACTCCTGACAAGTTGTACCTGGTGATGTCATTCGGTACGTTGGAACTTCTTCCGGCTCCGAGGTTATTTGACATCTGCTCAGTGAATGGAGGCGAGCTATTCTACCACCTTCAGCGAGAGGGAAAGTTCGATCAGGATCGTAGCCGATTCTATGCTGCCGAGCTGTTATGTGCCCTCGAGCACCTTCACGGTTTTAATGTTGTCTATCGGTAAGTTATCTTCTACATTGTGGTAGCACTTGATGAACATTCGTCAGCGACCTTAAACCAGAAAATATTCTTCTCGACTACACAGGCCATATCGCCTTATGCGACTTCGGTAAATCTTTTCACCCCTTTTCAACAGCATTTTCTGATTTCCATCAGGACTTTGTAAGCTGAACATGTCAGAAACTGAGAAGACCAACAGTAAGATTGATCTATCATTTTATTGTCGCACAGCCTGATCACGGGCGCACAGCCTTCTGTGGCACTCCAGAGTACATCGCGCCTGAGCTACTAGAGAGTCAAGGATACACTAAGACTGTCGATTGGTGGACACTTGGTGTGTTGCTGTATGAGATGATGGTTCGTACATCCATCCAACTAACATTTCCGCACCTGTCTTACTGTCTCCCCTTCGCCGACTAGACCGGCCTTCCGCCCTTCTATGATGAGAACGTAAACGTGATGTACCAGCGAATCCTAACAGACCCGCTGAACTTCCCTCTGGATATGCCTTCTGAGGCACGAAGTGTGATGATGGGCTTGCTGCAGAGGGATCCGACAAGGCGTCTCGGGGCTAACGGAGGAGAGGAAATTAAGAGACATCCTTTCTTTGCGAAGTATATTGACTGGAGCAGGTAAATACTTGTGGCCACTTGGTCGAACTGTCTTGCTCATGTTCTTCCCAGACTTCTCGCCAAAAAAAACCAACCACCTTTCAAGCCTAGCGTTGTACGTGTTCCTCTTTAACTTTTGTTCATTTTCCTTCATTTAGTGTGATTCTCATCATTAATTTCCTCACCCTAGGAATCGGTGTTGGATGTCGCCAACTTTGACCCTGACTTTACCAACGAAGAGGCACAGGACTCAGTTGTCACAGATTCAGCACTCTCCGAGACAGTGCAAGACCAGTTTAGGGGATTCACTTACAATCCAGCAAACGAGCACCTGAGCGAGAGTGTCAGCTACCCGAGCGCCATGTGAATGTCTTCTGCACCGCCGTCATGTATATTTATTGTGGTTTCTCTGGATGAACCACGCCTCCCATCTACGTATCATCACCTATCCCCTCGTACGTATTTTCTTTCTTTATGTCTCCCTCGTGTTCGTTTTCGTCTGCTTGTGGGCTTTCGTTCTACCAGCTTCTCGTTGTATATAAAATATAAATGGCAGCTTTGCCTTTGATTTGTCGCATTCTCTGTATTCTCGCTTTACCAGCATACTTTCTCTTACTTATTCTAGCAATCCGTTGATATTATGCGACCAACCTTTGGTTGTATTTTTTTCATTGCGTCTCCCTCCGACAAAAATGGTGTAATTTAGGGTACCGAAGGATTTTATTTCTCATTGTCAACAAAAATAGTCAACAAATACAAGGGTTTAACTGTACAGCGCGGTTAACCAAACTAAATTCTGATACCGAAAATCGAAACGAACACCAGATTAGGTTTATCGTGTCATTGTCAGCATGGACATGAGGTCAAGCGAGGATGTCTTGCACCCCCACCCCTCCCCCTAAAAGAATCAGGAAAACACTCATTGGAGATTCTCCCTACATCATCTTCCGGAATCGCAAGGCATTTTCGTCTTGTACATCATTGACATCGTGATGACCACGCAAGTCGGGGCGATATCTTGAGAGAGGGACCTTGAAGATGTGTTTGTACCCGCGGTTGTACTGGGACATTGCATATAGAAAGATTAAAAGAGATTCTACGAAACCTAGAGGGCTATATCAGCTCAGTGTCAGCTGGTGCAACGAGTATACAGACACATTATGAATTCGACCCAAACAAAGCCTTTGAGGGCCTGGACATCTTTGCACCAAACTCTCTCATCGGTAAAATCTTGATATTTCGATTTTTAGAGCTATGAGAACGAGATGTCATAAACGGTGATGTTTAAGAACTGACCATCTGGGATAGTATCACAATGGAGAGGGATCTTCTGCCATCGCGCGGTGGAAAAAGAGTTGAATGCTGTCACATTGAACGGCTTAGCGTCCGAAATCACAACTATCGGAACACGCTCACCCAACCAGAATACACTCAACAGTCCCAACAATACAGCTTCAAATTGCGCACGCCCGGTATATGAGTTTGCGACAGCAAAATCAAGTGTGATCCTAATGGATGGGGCTTAGACACTGGACAATCACTGGACACACACGTACATAACGGATAAAAGGACGAACGTTGCAATGGAGAGGCCAAAAGGGAAGAGGTCTGCTATGACTAAATAAATAATAGGGTCAACTTAAGAGAACTTCAACTGCATCAGTCGATGACGCTTACAAAAGAAGTCCTGGAAATGATTCACGCGAGCTGCTAAAGCCAGGATAATAATATTGATAAGGTAGAGTGCCACTGGAAAGGCGTGTGTGTACTCAGTTAAAGAACCACCAATAATGCTTCAACAACCGTGTTGTTACCATTTGCAGCAGTTTTGAACTTGCCAACAGTCGAGAAAGTCATAGATAAGAGCCTGAAATAGTGTCCACGTTGCTGCAGGCCAAAAGCGAAGAATGAAGAGGAAACAGAAAAGTTCGAAGTTGGATTGAAGCATCGTCAAGACAACGAACACTTAGATCTGGCAGTAGAATCAGGAACGTCCAAACATGCATGAGTTTGATTCTGATATAAAACAAAAGCTACAAAAATACCGAGGCAAAAAAAGTTTAATGTCTGTCCCAAAACTACGAGCACGACCTCCGTCATTTATAAGGTAATCCATCGTGCTCAACTCTGGAGGAACTTGACGGCCCTACCGACTGTGATCCCTCCGAGCTTCAAAACGAGGCACGGAGGCAGGCAGCAAAGAGCCGGATCGATCTTCCACGAGCGTAACAGGCCCCTAGTGTGTATTTCCATGTGGGCTACTGGGGGCCTTGACTGGCTCATGGTGCGAAAAGAATGAAAGTCGGGAAGAGCGTTAGACTGAGGCCCGAAGCCTAAGATTTCCTGAAAGGTTTGTAATGTTGACGATGATGATCTATACACATGGAACAATGTGCCCCATCGGCATGGTGAAAAGGCCAGAACAGCTATATCGTCAAGTCCGCTTGAAAAAAAAATAGTTAAAGGTATGATGACTAATCAGTTCCCACGTGCACATTGGCAACGGTGAATATCGGTGGCTTGTGATTGGGTAGCGGGCAACGCGGAGACCTCCTCCGAATCGTAACCTCTTCTTCGCTTCACTATGGCTGCTGCCCTCATCGCCCGCTCGACGGTTCAAAGGGCTCTCGCCCAACGTTCATTAGCTCGCTCAGCAGTGATCAAAGGCTAGTCAAATGTTATTCAGTCGAAGAACATTGATTAAAGGAATCGCACAACAGTCAGACATTCGACGAGCGATGCAGCGTACGTTCCGGGCGGCCGTGAGTGTTCTCTAAATTTGCCTTGGGACCGGCTGATTGCTATTTGTCACTGTAGCGGTGTACAAGGGTACCGTGAACGACCCGACAACATTCCCTCCACCCTCGCGTGCGCACGGGTCCTACCATTGGGCCTTTGAACGCCTCCTTTCCGCCAGCTTGGTACCTCTGACCGTTGCTGCGTACGTTACGACCGGTTCCAACTACCCAGTCATCGATGGTCTCCTTGGCGTATCGCTTGTCATTCATAGTCATATTGGGGTGCGTCTCTTGACCGTCCTCTCGTCTTATCCTATCTGTGTTGTTGACGGACCAGCGTTTAGTTTGACGCGTGCCTAGTTGACTACGTGCACAAGCGCAAGTTCCCTGTGATTGGTCCCGTTGCTACATGGACTCTGCGCGCTGTTACTGTTGGTGTGCTAGTTGGGGTCTACCAATTCAACACAAATGATATTGGTATGTAGAACAGGTTCATAGTATTGATATACTGAATCATTGTTCATATAGGCCTCACGGAGCTTATTGCGAAAGTTTGGGCTGCTTGATAGGCATGCCATCACGATGTTTAGAAAGAGTCATTAATTATTTCTCTGTCGGTTTCTGTCGCATATCTTTCTGAGTCGGTGCCAGCTCCCTCATCTTATGGCTTTGCAAAAAAAGGCAGAAGTTGAATATGGTTTTTATACTGAGTTAAAATGAAGCAGACGAGTATGTAGAGTAGTCTTCCCCTTTCAGCCTCGTTTGGCCAAATGACTTCGCTCGGTCCTCAACGAAAAACACTTGCATTAAGGGGGAATCGAACCCCCGGCGGGTCGAGCTTTTGATACTCGCAACTGAATGGCAACGACCCAGGTTACCACTACCCCATTAATGCTTGTGCTTGAGTGTCTGTCTCACATGCAAATGATCTACAATCACAACAACTCACTGATAGTGTGTACTCAATCAGACGTACCATGATAATCTCCTACGTACTATTCCTCTGTGCCGTATAACTCTAACATGCCAACATCCTCACGATCTGTTCATCTCGATGAAATTGAGATCGGTGTTTTCAGAGGGAGATGACGCAAATTGGAAATGAGAATTGTCATTGAAGAATTGTGCTGACTGTGGGCTCTGTCTGAACGGTATCCACCTGTGAAAATCGACGTCGATAGACTTCCATACGCAAACTAAGTCTGATCACGTTGACGAGACTCCTGTATTGTGATGCTGAAGCGATGAAGGATGGTCGTAGATTTGTGCACCTTGATTGAGAACCAGGAATTACGGCCAATCTCAGTAGCAAGGCTTTTGTTCAGACGGTCTAGCAACCACAGTCGCGTAAGACTTGATTGGAATTCAAGGTATTCTGCAGAACACAGAAATGATTAAAGCACCAAGATATCCAGTCACGACTCTTCGAATGGACTCTTAATCATTGACAATTCGTGGCACGCCATACGTGGCTAACAGTGATGTTAAAGAGAAAGATGCTAGAGCGAATTCATTTTACCTAGGCAGTAGTGGTGGATCTTGACCCGGCAGACGATTGTTTGGCAGAGTGTTGTTTGTGATCGGGTAATAGACATCGTTCGAGCCTGGTTTGTGTTACGACAACGACAACGAAGGCCAGTCTCGACCAGTAAACGCTCCAACCCTCATACAACGCTAGTTTTCCTCGAGTTTTAGTCTGTATTCATCCTCAGCGTCTTCAGGGCGCGTCTTTCTTTTCCTCGTCCTCTTTTCTACCTCGTCTTCCATTCATCTTCAATACCATCGCATCTCGTATACCCTTGCGCGGCATACTAGTGAAACTTTGCGCCATTGCCCAGTGTCGCATCTCATCTTGAAGGACCGTGATCTGCTCAAACCATCATGTCGAACGCTGCATCCTCATCAACCTCGACAATAGCACCTGCAAGTGCCGGTCCTAACGGGCAGAATTCACATCCATCCCAGGAAAATAATGACGAAAGGAACAGGTAAACTCAATCTACTATTTGACACGCGCAAGTCGCCTTTATGACTCGTCATTCCTAGTGTCGTGATCAAGGTTGGGATGGTAGGCGACTCACAGATAGGCAAAACGAGTCTGATGGTCAAGTACGTGGAGGGTAGTTTTGATGAGGATTATATCCAGACGCTGGGTCAGTTGCTATCCTTCCTTCCGACCGCCCTTTGTCTTTTGACTCCGTCAAATAGGCGTCAACTTCATGGAGAAGACGATTACTGTACGGAGAACAACTATCACCTTCTCGATATGGGATCTTGGTGGCCAACGGGAGTTCGTGAATATGTTGCCGCTAGTCTGTAACGACGCTGTCGCCATCCTGTTCATGTTCGATTTGTCACGGAAGTCGACCCTGAACTCAGTCAAGGAATGGTATCGGCAGGCAAGAGGATTCAATAAAGTATGTATTCGCAACCAAGTTCTTATGTCTCCCTCTGAGTCATTGGACGCGTCTTCGTCTTTGAATCTGCTAGACGGCCATTCCATTCCTGATCGGCACCAAATTCGACACTTTTGCGACATTTCCACGAGACGAACAGGAAGAAATTACTAAACAGGTGCATTTTCTTCAGTCTCCCTCTTAAGTTCTTCATGACAACGTTGATCATACCAGGCCAAACGATTTGCTCGCGCCATGCACGCGTCACTGATATTCTGTTCTACCTCGGCATCAATAAATGTACAAAAGATTTTTAAGATCGTCTTGGCCAAAGCCTTCGATTTAAAGTGCGTTATACCTGAAATAGAAGGGGTGGGCGAACCAATATTGATTTACGTGGATGTGTAATGAGTAAGAGGGAGGAATACATGTGGTCGGAATGACAAGATAGTCAGGGATTAAGAAAATACCAAGGTAAGCAGGAGGCCATAGAGAGGGCCATGCGTGGCTGATAAAGAGTGCACTAGCTGTATCCATGTTTTGCCGTAGCTAGTGGCTCTGACTGATCGAACATCTTGATCACCTGGATGTGGTCTTATACAGGAAATTCGCTCAACTCCTTACTGCGGCGTACAGTCATTCTACTTACTCTCCTTTGATCACTACACTCCCTTTATGGACAACATATATATTTCACCCTCTTTTTTTACACCCATATCACCGTTTTCGTTGTTTTGCTGCATTCATTATGTTTCATTTTCTCGTCTCCCTCTCATTGTCATGCATAACTATAAGCTGTTTCAGTTCACATCTCATGAATCAGAAGGAAATTATCATTGTACATCCATTCCTTGGATCTGTTTTTTGCCCGGATATCATGAGATCAACTTTTCTCGGTGCTTGCAAGCCACTTTCGTCCCTCTGACTGGAGCAATTCCATTTATTGTCATGATTAAGCTACCATTCAGGTGGACATTTCTTATGGTGGAATGGGAAAATCTATCTTCAAATCCCTTCAAATTCTTCCGGTTCTAGATCTCGTCAACCTCCCCGCTGAAGAGCAGAAGAAGGCAAAAAAGGGCCAAAATGCCCCAATCGCTGTTGCTACGAGTGTGACATCAAAATACTGCTATACTCTAAATTATATGAAGTTCCGACCTTGATACGACAAGGCGGCCTCACCAATGACCATGTGCAACCACGATATCCGATAAAGACAGGGTACGACAGCAAAGTCGGCTATCTGGAAACACGGGATCTCTGGCATATATAAGTGCCCACCCGTTATCAAAGATTATGATATCATGGAAGTCTCCATGATCCGATAAGGACTCACAGGTGCTCAATTGCGGTTTTGTCTGATGTGCGCCTTTTACAAAAGGAACAGACATACCCCTTCAAGTCGAGTCCAGACTTATATCACAGAAACTTCCCAGAAGCTTTCATCTCAGAGGGTTTGTGAGAGGAGCTCAAGAATGCCTTGCTGCTTTCACCCAGCATAAGATGAAGAAGAAAAAGTTTGTCGACATTGCGAAGAAACCCCGGAGTGAAGATTGCCGAGCTGGTCAGTGGCCTATCTGAGAATCATGAGGTCAGAGTTCACAGAGAGCGGCTAGCATCAGTAAAACGCCGGACTCCAAACTCGTGCAACTTCAAGTACCCTCTCGTACACCTGATTTGGTGTCGGAACAAGTTATAGTGTAGATAGGGCCGAAAAAAAGGTCAGTTGTCTTCGCTTCATTTGTATTGAAGCTCTATCATTCCGAGAAGTACAATACTCTGAATCACCGGACTCCAACCATGCACCCCCGCTGTCAGGGAAAACACAATTATCGGGGTCATTACAGAGAGATATTCGCAGAAATTCCAGAGAAATTCGGCGGCTACCAAGCTTCGTTCTATCTGAAACAGAAAGAAGTCGACTCAGGAAAAGAGTTGAACGCCACGTGAGGAACCCATCAATTGCTTTGCCTCCGACTACTGTATACAATGGAAGTACATACAGCTGTTTTCCCTGTTCTACTGGTGTCAGGTGTCGTTATTTGACGGCTCCGCGTGCTCGTGTTGTAACCATATTGATCTGTGCCACCAGCCTGCCCGATATGTGGTGTTGGTATTGTATTCTCCCGCTGGACCGGCCAGCATGCGTTCCCTGTTTTCTCTGCCTGTTTATGATCTTCTGTTCCCTCTTCGGGACTTTCAGCTGACTACTCTAACGGATGTATCGCGATCATTGCTGCCATTACGACTCAGCTCGATGTTAACTGTCCTCTTGGATCGCGTTGCCGTTGACTATGTTATGATTTGTCCAGAGACTTGTGCGTGACTTGTGAACTAGATGGTCCCTTCGTACAAGAATGTCCATGTGGTGTTTTGTGTTTTAATCGACTATAGTTTCCGATTTTTTCTCTTCGGGTATGATGATCCCCATTTGTCATACCGTATGTTGCCTTATCTCGTGCTAACGAATGGAAACTGTTTATACATACTCTTTCCGCCTCGTCAAGTATAAATATCCACACATGCTTCGAGATTGTCCCTCCTCAACCCTTGCTGGTCTTCACCATTTGTTCAGGAGTCATGGCCTCCTCTCAATCCTTTTTCAAACGAGTCTTACTTCTTGGGGTTGTGGCCTTGCTGGTGGCTATCAGTGTCGATGCGACGCAGATCATGCGTCGCCCATCTACCTACAAGATTCCTGCCAAGACCGTGCAGACCGAAAAGAGTCCCAAGACGAAAATCATCACAAAACGTGCTTCTGGGAAAACATCTTTTGCTTATTTTACGAACTGGGGAATCTATGGCGCCAATTTTCGTTTGTCTTCATGCCTGAGTTCTTCCAGACATATATTCTTACTTGACTTTTCCAGAACCAACTGATATTGTCTCTTCCACCTTGACTCGTTCGTTCATTCCATCCAACATACCACTTATGGTGCTCTGACCACGATTTGTAGATATCTTGTATGCCTTTGCGGATGTCAATCCTACAACAGGAGTTATCAGCCTCACCGATCCTTATGCCGATGAACAGGTGAGACTTGAACTCTTTATTGTATATACCCTTCTTAATTCTGGTCAACAGAAACACTTCCCATCTGACTCGTGGAGTGAGACTGGGAACAATCTCTATGGCTGCATAAAGCAACTTTATCTCCTGAAGCTCAAGCAAAGAAACCTGAAGGTTCTGCTGTCAATTGGCGGATGGACATACTCTCAGTCCGGTGAGTACAGTCTACTCAACTCTTGAGTTTCGCTCTGAAGAGTGCTTTTCAAAGGGCACTTTGACTTTGTAACAAGTACATCTGCTCGTTCCACATTTGTTACTAGCGCCGTCCAATTCATCGAAGATTATGGTTTTGATGGAATGTCTGTGGAAATCATGTGTATCATAGGCTGTCCGCTGACCTATTACAAGTGATCTTGACTTTGAGTACCCCTCAAGCGATGCCCAAGGACAAGGGTTCGCCGACCTCCTGACTGCCCTTCGCTCAGCCTT